TGTTCATAAAAATATAAGTTTTATTCATGTTGGATGAAAAATCAAAATTACTTTACCTTCCTGGTCCTTGCTGACCCTTCCTGTAGGCTGTCTCTCCCATCCCTTAATTACCTGATCTATAGGCTATCTCCCCCACATCCCTCACTTACCTGATCTATAGGCTTTCTCTGCCTCCAATGCCTCACTTCCCTGATCTGTAGGTTATCTCTGCACCCCCCATGCCTCACTTCCCTGATGTGTAGGTTCTCTCTGCCCACCATATGCCTCACTTCCCTGATGTGTAGGCTATCTCTGCCCCCCCATTCCTCACTCCCCTGATCTATAGGCTATCTCTGCCCCCATATGCCTTACTTCCCTGATCTGTAGGCTATCTCTGCCCCCATATGCCTCACTTTCCCTGATCTGTAGGCTATCGCTGTCCCCCCATATGCCTCACTTCCCTGATCTGTAGGCTATTTCTGCCCCCCATATGCCTCACTTCCCTGATCTGTAGACTATCTATGCCCCCCCCACGCTTTGATTTGACTCTCAGATATGAAGTGCAGGCCCCAAAATGTACTATATAGCAGATTAGCACCCAGAAAATATTTTTTTTTACAAGCGTGCTGTATGCGCACTATTAGACGCTTCGATTTGACTCTCAGATATGAATAGCAGGCCCCAAAATGTACTATTTAGTAGTTTAGCACCCAGAAAATAAGAATGTTTACAACTGCGCTGTAAGCACACTATTAGACGCTTCAATTTGACTCTCAGATATGAAGAGCAGGCCCCAAAATGTACTATTTAGCAGATTAGCAGCAAAACAATTAGAATGTTTACAACCGCGCTGTAAGCGCACTATTAGATGCTTCGATTTGACTCTCATATGAAGAGCACGCCCAAAATGTACTATTTAGCAGATTAGCAACCAGAAAATAAGAATATTTACAACTGCGCTGTAAGCACACTATTAGACACTTCTATTTGACTCTCAGATATGAAGAGCAGGTCCCAAAATGTACTATTTAGCAGATTAGTAGCAAAACAATTAGAATGTTTACAACTGCGCTGTAAGCACACTATTAGACGCTTCGATTTGACTCTCATATATGAAGAGGAGGCCCCAAAATGGACTATTTAGCAGATTAGCAGCAAAACAATTTGAATGTTTAAAACTGCAATGTAAGCGCACTATTAGACGCTTCTATTTGACTCTCAGATATGAAGAGCACACCCCAAAATGTACTGTTCAGCACCAAAACAATTAGAATGTTTACAACTGCACTGTAAGCTCACTATTTGAAGCTTGTATTTGACTCTCAGATATGAAGAGCAGGCCCAAAAATGTACTATTTAGTAGTTTAGCACCCAGAAAATAAGAATATTTACAATTGCACTGTAAGCACACTATTAGACACTTCAATTTGACTCTCAGATATGAAGAGCAGGTCCCAAAATGTACTATTTAGCAGATTAGTAGCAAAACAATTAGAATGTTTACAACTGCGCTGTAAGCACACTATTAGACGCTTTGATTTGACTCTCATATATGAAGAGCAGGCCCCAAAATGTACTATTTAGCAGATTAGCAGCAAAACATTTAGAATGTTTACAACTGCGCTGTAAGCACACTATTAGACGTTTCGATTTGACTCTCATATATGAAGAGCAGGCCCCAAAATGGACTATTTAGCAGATTAGCAGCAAAACAATTTGAATGTTTAAAACTGCAATGTAAGCAAAGTATTTGACACTTCTATTTGACTCTCAGATAGGAAGAGCAGGCCCCAAAATGTACTATTTAGCAGTTTAGCACCTAGAAAATTAGAATTTTTACAAGTGCGCTGTAAGCGCACTATTAGACGCTTCTATTTGACTCTCAGATATGAAGAGCAGGCCCCAAAATATACTATTTAGCAGTTTGGCACCCAGAAAATAAGAATTTTTACAAGTGCGCTGTAAGAGCACTATTAGACGCTTCAATTTGAATCTCAGATTTGAAGAGCAGGCCCCAAAATTTACTATTTAACAGTTTAGCAGCAAAACAATTAGAATGTTTACAACTGTGCTGTAAGCGCACTATTAGACGCTTCGATTTGACTCTCAGATATGAAGTGCATGCCCCAAAATGTACTGTTCAGCACCAAAACAATTAGAATGTTTACAACTGCACTGTAAGCTCACTATTTGAAGCTTGTATTTGACTCTCAGATATGAAGAGCACGCCCCAGAATGTACTGTTTAGCACCAAAACAATTAGAGTGTTTACAACTGTGCTGTCGGTGCACTATTTGATGCTTCTTTTTGACTCTCCAATATGAAGTGCAACCCACTAAAATACTATTTAGCAGTTTAGCACCCAAAAATGTTTAAGATTTAAAACTGCAATGTGACAGCAGTACTTGATGATTCTATTTGACTCTCAGTTATGAAGTGCACCCCACTAATGTACTATTTAGCAAAAAAAAAAAAATTTACTTTTTGAAACTCCGATGTAACCACAGTATTTGACGCTTCTATTTGACTCTCAGATATGAAGTGGACCCCACTAATGTTCTAGTTTACAGAATTCTCTCCAAAGCTGTCCCTCACAGCGGCAGCATCCTCTCCCTACAATAATAAGACCTCATGTGCGTGTGGCGCTACGCAACTCCAGCTTATATATAGGGGCTGGGTCACATGCTGCACTGGCCAATCACAGCCATGCCATTAGTAGGCATGGCTGTGATGGCTTCTAAGAGCACACAAGTCAAACACTTGTTGATTGGCTGCCCTGCAGCCTTTGAAAACGCGCCATTAAATCGCCAAACACCGAACTCCAATCTGAACATACAGTGATATGTCCGGGGTCCAAAAAACGTAATGTTCGGTACAAACCCGAACTTTGCAGTCCGGGTTCGCTCAACTCTAGTGAGGAGATGATTATTGGATGTGTGTTGAATTCTGTGAATGCCAGTAGCACCCTAATGTTTTTCTGTGAAGAAGTGTTGGTGTCAGAACTTACCAAACTCTATTCCCTCGGGGTCACTTCCACGTTCGACATTTCAACTCCTCCTACTTGAATGACGCATGGCTTCCACTGCCTTTTAGGGAAACTGCGCCAAAAGCAAATTGCTTAATAAATTTGTCTCATCCACGAAAACACCAAAAACTGAGCTATCATAATATTCCTTTTGTGTACCGACCCGAACCTGTTGAAAATGACTTTGATGCTTTCTCCTCCTTGAAAACCTGCTTGGATCTTGTTGCCTTCTCCTTCCCAAGCCCTGATCTGTTAAACGTAATACTCCAATCTCACTGAACTAGCTAGGAACCTAATTTCCTACTAAGGCTGAAAGTTTCCTATCACTATGAGTCTACAAGGAACACCTCCTACGGAGCCTGAATACCTGGATAACTATAAGTATAAAATTATTCTTACTATTCCTGCTTCATTGCTACTAACTGAAAAATGTCTACTTAATTTCATTGTGAATACTTTGTTTCAATTCTTGCTACAATTATTGCAAAATCTTTAATAAAGCTATTCCCTTTTCATTATATGCTGCATGCTAAACTTGC